TAAAGGAATTTGGCTATTAAAATGAGTTTAACTTCAAAATTTTAATTACAAAAAGGTTTTAGGCCTAATCATGATTTAATTGAGATGGTTTAATTAATCCTAATCCTACTGAGTTAATAAAATATAAAATATAAAACGAAAAGAAAAAAAGAATGAAAAAAAACAAAAAAAACAAATGGAGGACGTGTAATCCCACTGCCATCATTCCCAGGTTTGAACAGACCGTGAAAGAGAAAGGGATGACAAACAAATTCGGGCCCGCCCACACCCGCCCGGGTCCGCCCCGAAATTAACGGGGGGAAATCCGATTTAATTGGGTGCGGGTGCGGGTGAAACCCGGTTCTTAACTACGGGTGTGGGTGCGGGTGCGGGTAGACACTAAGACCCGCCCGCACTCGCCCCCGCCCCGCCCCAAATAGTATATTTTATTTTGATTTCCTTATTTTATTTATTTTAATATTTATTTATTAATTATACTTTTAATTAAGTTATTAATATTCTTATTGCAATTAAAATAATAAAATTAATCAAGTTAATATCCATTTATTAATTAAAATTTTAATTAAATAATTAATTAATTTATTAAAATAATTAATTTTTTAATTAAATTACTAATTTTTATTATAATTAAATAAAGAATAATTTTTTGCGGGTGGGGGCGGGGCGGGTGCGGGTGCACCCGTTTTCTACTGGGGGCGGGTCTGGGTGGTAAATTTTCACCCCGATCAGATTTGGGGGCGGGGGCGGGTCTGTTACATGGAGGCGGGTGCGGGTGCGGGTATAGTTAAACCCGCCCCCTACCCGCCCCGTTGCCATCTGAAAAAGAAATTGAAGTAACACGCTAATGATGCAAAGACGAAGGTGTGGTGAACTTAGCCGTAGAAGCTTATCCGACGTCTCCTCGGCGACAAAATACTGGTACGCCTTCAATGTTCTCCCTGTTGGTTACCCTTTTTCTCCTCTCTCTACTGCGATGTTAGAGTTTCAATTGTTGTGGCCGCCGTCAATTGTCCTCTTTGAAAATTACCCCCTCCCCTTTTAGGGTTCTTCTCTCCTTTATATTGCTGCAAAAAAAACCTTTCCGTCTGAAGTATTGTTGGGCCTGGATCTGTTTTGTTATTACAATTTTTGACGAGTTGTTTTGATTCCAGTTTTGGAGCAACATTTTCAGCCTTCTTTTCAGGAGCGATCATCTGCCAGCAAAGCTCAACAGATAGCGGAGATTTATTCCAAAAGTTGAATTCCATTATTGACGTTAACGGCTTCTGCGAATTTTCTGGTATAGTGTAATCACCTCTGGACTTCCTTTCCTTTTGTACCCTCCGTCAGCATGTACTGTTATGCTGCTAATGCTAATTTTTCATCCCTGTCATTGCCTGCAGCAAGATCGGGATAATGTGCCAAACACCCATTGCCTGCACGCCCCTCCCTATCAATTCGAAAGCGGTAGTGAACGCATTTTGAAGTAGAACAGCCTGCTGTACAATTTCTGCCTGAGCTTGACCTTCAAATTCCTTCTTCACATTATGAACTGTAAAGATGATAATGGAAATAATCCTGAAGATGGAAAGACCATTCTCAAGAGTATCCTGGCCAAAATTCAGTTCTTTATCTTGCCCTGGAGAAAGGAGTTTGCGCAGACCAGCGTTAACGGCAAGAACTTAGATGAAAGTCTCGAGACTTGAACCACGCGTTACAGTAGGTACTGATGCTCAATGCTCCTAATGAAACTGGCGTAATTGATACATCATTGGCGTGCCAACAGTCATCGTATGGAGTCTCGTTCACTAGGATAGAAGCGCTACCACGGTATGTGCATAAGGCAAGCCATAAAGGTTCCAACCACGACAAAGGCAGCATCGATTTCTTATACCCGCTATATGATACCTCTTTGATTCCCATACTTTTACCTTCAAATTCAAGTGTAGTTAGCTTCCCCTAGAAGATTGTACAACAGGGTATTATTTACGGATGCTATCCTCAGCTTCTTAATAGTCTTGTCCGGTGTGTTATAAATTCCAACCTTTCTTGAATGTGAATTGACTTGTGACTCTGGCTTCACTGTTTTTTTGCAGGCTGCCGCTCTCATTTGGAGGTAATGGATCTCAGGAAAAGTTAATGATGTTGCTTGCCTCTTATCATGACTTAGCAAAAATTATTGCTGATACGACTTCATTTGAATTGGTTGCCCGATGAAGAAAGCTGGAATATTTTTAGCAGTAAAGTCATCGACCGTGCCGACCAGAGGATCAGCGAACGCGGCGGTGATACAAGCACCTAGTGGCAGCAGCAGCCTGACTTTGGTGGAAGTCCCTCCAACATTCTCATCACCTTGAACCTTAGAATGCCTGGCCATCTGTTAACAAACTTTGTTTTGTCAATAAGTTGATTATGAAAAGTATCCAAATCGGCCATAATTCTTCTTACAACATCGTTGTGGTCCAGGTTAATCTCCTCAAACTGAATTCCAACAAACAGTGCTATCATTTCACCATGAGTAAGATGTCCATCTTTATTTTCATCAATTTATTGCAAATAACTTCCTAATTATATCTGTGTTGGATTCGGCATTATCTTTCAGAAGCTTTCCCAATGAATGCATCCTCAAATGTCTCAGAAGTCCCAACATAACACGCTTATGTTTAATATATTCTAATTGTTTTAGTAATGTCTGTTCTTGAATTTTGGCAGTCTGACCCTTGTCGAGAGTGGTGGCTCTGATGTTTTCCACTGAGAAGATGCGGTAGGAGCAACTGCTAACACGCTAGCTGAATCCATAGAACCTTGAGACATTGAGGTGCTTGTACTGACTTGAGAAGCAACATGATTTCCAGGCTGTTGATTAATTGTAAGTGAATCATAGTTATGTTGCAATTTTGTCTGAATATTTGGTTGTGTTTGATTAGTTTGCTTAGATTGTGCCTGAGATTGCACCTGCAGTTGGTGATGGTTGGGAGCGACAGAAGCAGGCTGTACGGGTGTAACTACATGACCTGAAATAACCGATGAAACTGGCACTTGTATATTACTGTCAGAAGAAGATGCCAACGACTTATGTTGCTTCGATGAAGAGCTGGTTGATCCAGAATGTAGCTTCTGCTATAATTAGAAGGATGAGCAGAACCTGGTGGCTTGTGTGGTTGGTCTGCTGCAGATTCTAATTCCATTGGAAGAAACCAAGTTCAACATGTTTTGTTTCTAATGTTTGTATCATCCATCTCAAGTTTCTGTTATTGGAATTTGAATTACAATGCATTATGGGTACCGTACAAGTTTCTAAGAATGTTGGTCCATAATTTATTTGATGACATCTACCTAAGAATAATGTGATTCATAATCTGATATGCATGAACACTTTTTTAATCTATCTAAAGAATCCCGTAGGTGGAAGATTCTAGCATAAGATCACATTAAATTATAAATTAGTTTATGAAGCATATAAGAGTTGACATCAGCGATGACAATGTTATGATAAAGAAACTCCATTTTAAACAAGAATATTGGTAAGGCTTCACTCTTATAGGATACATGGAACAGTAATCAACAAGATATCATGTATAAGTGTTAAGCAATCTGCACTAGTACATACGTACAAGCCATGCTATAGACTATAGTACAAGTGAACTTACAATTTGGAACATTTATATTGGCATTTGAAATTGTTTTATTTAATAAATATCACCTTTAACTTTGTATCATTGCCTTTTAGTATAATTTAGTTCACCATATAATTTAGTTCAATATATTAAGTTCACCATATAATTTATCCAACTAAGCTTGTCTGAATTATTCATTTGCTTCATTCGTCCAATCAAATCTCTGATGTAATCGAGCAAAACATTTCATTGTTTTCTGTAAAATCAACTGTTGATAGGTAGAAAGCAGGGAATCGTGCATCTATCGCAATAGATTCCTCAAAGCACATTCCCACACCAATTTAACCTGAAGACATATCCTTTCTTGTCGAATTCACCAAGAGAAATCAAATTCCTCTTAAGGTCAGATACATGCCTAACACCAGTCAATAACCTTATTGACTCATCATGGAGCTTGAATCTCACAGATCCAATACCTGCAATCTTACAAGCTTTATTGTTTTCCAACAACACCGATCCATCATCTTGATCACTAAGGCAAATCATGTTATTGATGTATTGCCTAGATGTCATCGTATCATGGAGTTTGGTCAGGCGGGTATAGGCAAATGACTATGAGGTGAGGGACATTTTAGATGTCATCAGGAGATATGCACATGATTGTAGTACAAGATGCAGCGTAGGAACATGGAGGCCCGAGTCTGTCATACGCAGTAGTATATAATATTTGTATTAGGAGCATTATCATCAGTTATATTTTATGTAGATTTCATTATGTATTACAAACCAATATATATATATATATATATATATATATATATATATATATATATATATATATATATATATATATATATATATATATATATTATTCTGAAAGTCTATGATTTAATTTATATAAAATTGAATACGATATTTAACTATAATTCATCGTTTCGTCCGTGTATCTCTAAAACAAAGTAAAAAAATTATTGTGTGGTATGAATACAAAAATGCATTCTCAATTCAGATTATGTCTCGTGTAAATATATAAATGCATCTCTAATGAGGAATACATGATATGTATAAAAAATAGGTATAGAGATATATCATTAGACTAAATTTTGGAGAAAGAAAAAAAAAAGGTGAAATTCAATTGGAACGTGTTTTGACAAAGCTCACGATGCATTTGAAAATGTATTTTCGAAATTGAAATTAGAGTAGGGTGTTTTTTCACATATTGGTTGGATAAAGCAATTCCCAAATATATTTAATTGGGCCTACCTAAAGCCCAAAACATTCTAACCATCATACAAGAGAAACTCAAATCTCTACCAAAATCGAAGCTCACACAGCGCGTCAATGGCGGAACCTCTGTTGTAGTCTGAACTCATCAATCACAGCAACTTCCAAACTTAGCAAGCAATGATGACTCTTGCTTCAACAACCACCCTCGCCCTATCTTTTCTTCTCTTGCTTCCAATTCTATCTTCGGCAACAGTAGAAGAAGAATTTTCCGAGGAGTTGCTACTTAAACCCTTACCCGATCGCAAAGTGCTAGCGCATTTTCACTTCCAAACCGAAGCTCCTGTTGCGGAAGATTCATTCGCTCGTCACCATCACCTCTTCCCCAAATCCATTTCTCAACTGGTGTGTGTTTACTTTACTCTTTCCTCTTTTCTATTTCATTTTGCTTATTTTAGGGTTAGTTGTGTTTTTAGTACCTACTATAATTATCTCTAATTTTGTTTTCAATTCTTTTACTATTTTGGGACTAGTTTTGTAATAATGTTTCAGTTGAATTTGGTTGCAAGCTATTGAAGTTGTTTCAAAAATTTCTAGATGATGCAGATGTTCATGTAGTTAAGATTGTTAATGATTATTGTAAGTGTTAGGATTAGTACTTTAATTGGTTACTTCATATGAAGATTCTGGAAATTAAATTGTTAATTTGGTAAATTGTGAATTTGCCTATGGAATACAAATGAGAATTAAGATTTATCATGATATTGCAGATGCACTATTGTTTCCTCCTATTATTTGTTCTCTTTATGAATCCTTTCTATTTGAATCATGGTCTTAAATTGCGGTCGAGGATGTGGTTGCTGGTGTTGATTGCAGTCATTGTGATTGCTGCAATGCACATTGCGGCCATTGTGGCGTGAATTTTTGTTGGGAGATGCTTGAAATACATCATTGGAAAACATTTAATGCTAAGATTTTTCATTGCATCATAAGTAAATTGAGTTATAGGGTTCTGAAATTTTGAGTTTTGATAAAAAAAATACTTGAAGAAACATGAGTAAAATTGTTTGATGTGGTTTCTAATGTAGTCGGACAAATCACACCGCAATTGAGGTTCGATGTGGTTGCGGAGGCTACTACATCAGCAAAATTGTGGCTACAACGGTCTAATCCTGACATTTACTGTTACTGGTCATTATTTATTTCTGTTACCGATTAATTCAAGTCTTGCTAAGGTATCTAACTCATGCATCCTGAATTGCTAAGTATTGTATATGAATGACCGTTTGGCGATGACAGTTGAATGTCAAGAACCATTTAGTTGAAGTTGTCTCGGCTTTTCTGTGAGCATCAGTATTGTTTGAGGAAATCCTTTACATGACACCAGATGCCAACGGTTCTTCTTGGTTTAGTTTATATTTTATTTTTGATATTCCTTCCTTATGCTTTAGTATATACTGTATTTTTTGTGTTTTTCTGTGAACTGTAGAAGCAAGTTTGTTTTATTTTTTCCTATATTCTGACTTCTCAGATCTTTTTACCTTGAATATACTAATTAACATATGGATTAGTTTTGGATGGACAGGTTAAGAAATTTCACATTAAAGCAATGGAGTTATCTTTCACACAAGGTCGATGGAACTATGAAAGATGGGGTGGACTTGATCCAATATCTAGCCAAAATGCAAAGCCTCCTGGAGTTGAATTATGGGCAGTCTTTGATGTCCCTCAACATCAGGTTGATGCTTTTTGGAAAAATTTGACACATTCTCTATCGGGTCTCTTCTGTGCTTCGATAAACTTCCTAGAGTCTTCTAGCTCTTATTCCGCTCCTAAATGGGCATCTCAGTCAGCCTTAGGTAGTTTAAGATATGGCACACTGCCGCGTGAAGCTGTCTGCACAGAGAATCTTACTCCCTGGTTGAAACTCCTTCCTTGTCGAGATAAAGCTGGACTTTCGGCCTTAATGGATAGACCATCTATTTACAGGAGTTTTTATCATTCACAGCGGTTGCACTTGACAGCATCCATGGCTCCGGCTGATGGGTTAGATTCAGGAATTATTCTAGAACAAACACTTACAGTTGTACTACAGCCTGATGTTCAGAAAAGTTTGAGTTTTCCTGGTGAATTTAAAATTCAACCAAGCTGGTCTCTGAGCTCAATATTTGGACGGAAAGTGAATGGAAGGTGTGTTCTTGCTAAGTTGAGTAATGTCTACCTTCAAGTCGAGAGAGATCTAGTCAGTCAAATTGAGAAGCTCCAGAAGAATAATGCTGCATATGCTGATAATGACACGGATACAGATGTTTTGAGAGGGAATCTTGGCTTTGAAATATCTATTACACCTGATAGGGTTCATAGAGAACTGGAAAAGAGCTCCTCAATTCTGTATGAATATTCAATCAAAGATTCCAATGAAGCGAAACAATTTGATTTAGGCCTAACATGGAAATATCCGATTGTTTGGTCCTGCCCTCTTGCACCTTTATATGCCAGTAGATTTTTAATTGGAAGTGGAAATGAAAGAGGCTCGATTGCAATATCCTTGAAGTCTACAGAATTGACTAAGGATTTCATTGTAGCTAATAATGTTGAAGAGAAGTGTAAGTTACAAGTTAATGTTCTCCAAATTGTGCCTTGGTATATTAAGGTATATTATCATACCTTGCAATTATTAGTAGATGGAAAGCCTCAAGCAATCACAGATTTTGTTGAGAGAATGAGTGTTTCTCCTTCTGAAGACAAAGTATCAACAGGGGTGATGGAGTTGGTCCTCAGATTTCCTTGTGAGATTAAATCTGCTATATTAAATATAGAGTTTGATAAGGTGTGCTCAAATTCTTATTTTCATTTATATATTTCTATTTCTTTTTCTTTTGGATGTTTACCTCACTTGTTTTATTGACAAACTCCGTAAGTTATTAAACAACCTTAGAAATCTTAGTAAGATAATCATGCTTTGCTCATTCCTAGCTTAGGTGTTACTTGAGGTTGATGAGTTAGGATTGATATGTGTTTTTATCCATGAAGTGCTTCTTGCCTTGTTACTTACTTCCCCTGACACAGCTGTATCGGAGCTGGTAAACTAATTGCTGGTTTAACCCTCTGCTTTTTTTTATTTTTTTATTATCTTGCCGTTAATCCATGAGTTTTAGGAACTGGATTTTATTGAGCTGGCTACATGGTTTACTTGCCCGAACTAGACATGAATTTAGGTAGTATATGTCATTGCAGCCTGAATATGATACTCGTTTCCTTTTCTATCAATATGGCATTAGAAGCTATTCATAACTATGTATATGATATGTTAACTACGGACCAAGTGATTTATGATAGAATATTATGAGGTTTGATCTATGTAGCTCACCCCCCATATAGTGGGATATATCGGGATTTTGTTCTGACATGTCTCTTTTGGTCCGCACATAGGGCTTCTTGCACATTGATGAATACCCTCCCGATGCTAATCAGGGATTTGATATTCCATCAGCAATAATAAGCTTTCCCGACTTCCATGCCAGTTTGCAATTTTCCAATGATTCTATAACCAGGTCACCAATGATGTCTAAATTACAGGTTATTTGATTCTCCATTCTTCTTTTTCCCATCACTGCAGTAAATATAAGATTACCATGATACCTAACAGTCTGGATCTTTAATGCAGGAAAAGAGCCCTGTTCTCTCATACACAGAAGTTTTACTGGTACCCTTGACAACTCCTGATTTCAGTATGCCTTACAACGTCATTACAATTACTTGCACGGTTTTTGCATTATATTTTGGATCCTTGCTAAATGTACTCCGAAGACGAGTTGCAGAAGAGGAAAGACTTTTGAAAGGTAACTCTCGACTCTTGTAGTCTCTGTATCTTGGGACACAAGTATTCTGTCGTGTACAACAAGTAACCCTATGATAGTGTTTTCTAATATCTGGTATTTTTATGCTTGCAGCAAACAAAGCTCCGTTCCTTCGACAAGTAATAAATAGATTGTCTTCAAGGTTTCGGAGAGGATCATTAGAATCCACTCAACCAAAACAACCATCATCATCCTTCCTTACTCCTAAATTGATTATTAAGATAATATTGGTTGCAGGATTTGCTGTTGTATGGCAATTCTACTTGAAATGATACCATTCAACTTTGTAGTGTTAGGTGTATTATATTCAATGAGTACTATTTCTGTACAACAATATAGCTTTACTTCCACTGGCCAATGTGTTTGTCTTCCCTTCTGTTTTTTAATCGACCACACATGATTGCATTTATATTATTAACAAAAATAGAATTTGTAACTTTTGACTTAGTTTCTCATACACCATACATGTTACTATTTATAACAATGGATGGATTTAACACCCTCTAAGGTTCTTCAAAATCTATGATTTCTGAAACAATTTTACAGGACATCATACATGTAAAAAACTCTACATATATTTTTCTTGAGTTAGAAAGTTATCTAATCCTTTTGTAATTAGCTACTACAATCTCATCGTCTCTTATCCGCTTGAGATTCTTATTTGTATAACTGCATGTAAACTGGCTTCGAGAAATGCTTCCAGGAATTTTATCGACTTTATCTTGAATATCTGTGAAGAGTCCATCAAATTTGTCAATAATGAGATTTTTGCAAACAAAAATCTGTATAGAAGGATTAGAATAAGAACATGCCAAACTTGTCCTCGTTTATTTTTAGCTTCTTGAACTGGTTGACATCTTCAGATAGTTGCTTTCTCTTGCAGTTTAGGACATTCAAAACCTCACCTTTTGAAAAGAACAAAGAAAAATATAAACAATCATATAATATAATGTGTATCAAAATACTCATAATGTTAATCACTAATTTTAAGAGAATCTAGGTTATATAAATTCTTCACAAATGATTGAAGAGAATCAATCATATATATTACCTGGTTTGCTCTCTCTGAACTTTTTATTCTTCTGCAAGTTGATATCTTCAAGTTGATTTCCTCTATTGCTACTATCATGCTCAGTTTCTATCACCTTGATAATCCCATTTTGAAAATCTTGTGACTCATGTCCCCCTGCATAAGCACAAATCTTAGATTTGGAGGTCCTGTAGTTATGGTTTAACTAAAACGAATTTGGAAGAAAAAAAAGTTAACAGAACATACCTCTGTTCACCACTTTTCCAGTGACAAGAAGAGCATCATGATTATGTTTCCCAGTAGACAGTCCCTTAGAAGAGAAGAAAGGGAGAAGACAGTTCCAAGTGAGAGAGGAAGAGAAAAAATCAACCCCTCTACTTATAAAGTAACCATTCAACTTCACCGTTGATGGGTCTAACCCAAAAGCTTTAGCTATGGAACCAAAATCGATTTTTTTATCATCACAAGTAACAAGTTGGACAATTTTTGAGTTTGGGAGTGAAGGGCTTGACATCAACAGTGTTATCTCTCTGTTTCTCTTCTTCCCCGACAACAATGACATGTCTTTCTTCTAAAACCTATGACGACAACCTCTGTTTCTTGGTTCTCTGTGCTTCAGAAAACACTATTAGCTTCGAAATTCTATTTAGTTTTTTTGTGTTTTCTTCTATGATCATTAGTTGATATTTTTCTTTCCAATTTTCAGTGAATTTTATGTTGATAATGCCATTGTTTTCTAGAAGTGTCTACATAGACCAAGTAGGTAAGCATAAGGAGATTGGGCCGGGTTGTGTTTTATAGGGCCTCAGATACTTATCGTATATCCACTTTAGAGAATTCAACATGGCACCCCTCAAATTAATTATGTCATCCCTAAAGTCAATAATCACTCTCTCATAATTTACATTTTCAAATTTTTACATTAAAAAAAAAAAAAAAACTCTTAAAATTTCACTTAAAAATAAAAAATTCAATAGTTATAAGTAACTATCTGAGTAGAAATACGTAAAATTGGAAAAGAAAATGTTTCTTTTTGTAGTAGATTTTCATTGGGATATAAAAATCTTCTATATATTTTTGTATCTATATTTAAGATTTACATAAATTTTGTGCAAAATTCTCCCCAGATGAAATTTGTAAAGTTCGGTGTATCAGATATTTTGTCTTTTTTATAAATACAATGTAAAAGATATTTTGTTTGTATCAATGTATTTGGTGGTCTAAAATCTCGTGTTAAAGTGTATTAATTGAATGAATATGAGATGGATGGAGCTCCAAAAAAATTTTACACAATTCTTCACCAATAACTTAGTATGTTTTACTTACATTTTTCATTTGACCTTTTGAAATTTTAATTGAATTATAAAATCTATGAGTAATTTATTTTATACTATAATTGGTAGATATTTTCCTCTCGAGTAGAAATGTTATCACAGGCACAATATATTAAGAGATAACACAGTAGTTTTGTAGTTGTCATTCGTTCTGGTACTGGTACATCAAAATGGTAAAAAAAAAAAAAAAGTTGGAACGATAAATTGATTCTTCGTTGTGTGGGTTGATGAAATTACAAGAATAAAGGAAAGTCGAAAGTTATTTGTAGTAGAAGGAGTTTGTGCTTCTCTCGATTGAGATATGTCTTAAGTGGTTGAAAAATAAAGGTTAGATTTGAAATTCACAATCACTGTGTAGTTAAAGATTTAGACGGTCATAACATACTATGTCGTCTAAGACTTGGAAAAATGCAGCTTGTGAACATGACAAAGTACAACATGACGCTAGGGTACATGATGGGTGCATTGAAAGATAGGAACTTTGAGAATCGGACAAATAATGGGAGATTGTATACAACAAGACAAACATACCACTATATTATTAGAGGTTCATTAATAGAAATGCAACATTTGTTAATTTCAATTCCTAATGACAAATATTTGTTTTGTGCCGAAAATATAAGAGACTCGGATGTTGTGGGTGATATGTTCTTAACAAATTATGCTTTAGTGAAGCTTTTGAATATGTATCATTTGGTTTTGACCTTTGATTGTGCATATACAACCAATAGGTATAGGCTACCAGTACTTCAGATTATCAGTGTTACGTCATCCGAGTTGACATTCTCTTTTGGATTTGCTTACTTGGAATATGAAAGGGAGACAAATTTCACATGGGCACTGGAGAAGCTGAAGGAGATATTCACAACAAAAAGTTATTTCTCGAGGTCATGGTGACTGATTGAGATATTCCCTGATGAATGACAATAAAGTTGGTTTTCAATCCTCAGTCCATCTCTTATGTGTTTTCATGTTGTTAAAATATTTGTGCAATGTGCGCGGAGTTTCTTGTGGTTAGTAGACAAAATCATTTGATAGAACTATGGAATAGTTATGTATTCAATAGGGTGCTTCAGTATGAGAAACACTTGTAACATAGAATACTCCACCAATGACACATAAGTCTCATAAAGCCAAGAGAAACAAAAATGAACACCCTTGTTAAACCTAAACTCCTTTGATGTCATCCCTAGTGTAACCTCCAAGTATGTTGTTACACTCATAGTTGCAAGCTTAAAGGTCATCAATGGAAGGGTGAAAAAGTTACCTGCGCGTGGAAAATGGAATAGGTTAGAGGCATCGTCATGGTAATCGTCATCTTACCAAATGGAATATGAAGTGCAGATGTCTCATTATGCTATCGCTAAACAAAAGCAACTAAAAATGGAGTGTCAGGCATCATGAGCAAACAATCCACCAACGACAATAAGTTACCATCATCTACCATAGTCTTAACCTCCTCTGGAATCTGCAACGCCAAGAAGTTACCATCATCTACCATAGTTTTAACCTCCTCTAGAATCTGCAACGCCAAGAATTTCTTCAACCTCATACCATGAGTAGGGACCTACAATAGGATGTGGTCTTGTAACAATTAAAGTATAAACCATTAGTTACTTTCAACTAACCACTTAAACATAAAATGAATTAACTTAAATTAAAATATTTATACATCTCCCTGCAATAATTTAAAGAAAACATGATCGGCATACCCTGTCAGCAATATAAGGTTGGAGGGCCTTCTTCAGAACCTTTCATCTTCCTGATTATCATGATCGTCACCTCCGCATGCGTTTTTGGCTCAACATGACTGGGCACATCAATATGTGCCTCCTCATCACCACCTATGGAGTGTCTAGATTTACTTCCTTTATGGTTGAAAGTGGTAGTCAGCGAGTTTCTTCAGTTCTCATGCAATGAAAACCGGTGGGAGCTCGTGAGGTTCCCCGGAGGCACGTTGTTCTCCCCGCGGAGGGGAGCACACGTGAACGTGGGAGAGCCATGGGGTCTCACTCGGTGACATGGGGTATACCGTCCGCGGAGGGCGGTGCTTGGTCGTGCGGGCGATTCGCTTGCCCGACGTGGATGGACGGTTCTTCCTCGCGGAGAGATCTTTCTAGCGGGTCGGGGATCTTGTGCCCGACGTGGTACTCGGACTGGGTAGGCATGGTGGAACATTATTGGGTTGGGCCAGCATAGTTCAGCCTGGGGCCCAGGCCAGAACACTTGTCAATCATTTTAATAAAAATATTCTAGTTATATATAAGTACGATACAATTTAAAAATCATAACATTTTTTTAGACTAAATCATTTGAATTAAACATTCTATTTATAAGTAATGTAATATGTGATGTGTTTGAAGTGAATTGTTAGAAAATACGGTAGGTATGTTTATGGGTCCGAATTTAAATAACATTCAGGCGCTAAAATTTTGACACTCATGTGTCGTACCTTAAAAAGAAGAATACGACCTCGCGAGACGCGTTGCATGTTTTCGGAAATAACTAACAGAGTCGTCACCGAACTTTATTTATTTCTAAAGAAGAAAAGGAAAAATATCGATAAAACCCTTAAAAGAACGACTAAGATATAGTCGTCGCAAACAATCAAGTTTTGAAAATTGATTACGCAAGAAGAATGTATTAACATCTCTCAAACAGAAACCGTTTAGTTAGTTATTCGCGTTAACGTTAGCTTTTAAAATATTTAACTTCTCAAACTATTAAAAGAACAAAAAGTAATATGACCAAAAGGTGAACTTTTTATTAGGATGCCCATATTAACGAACTTTTCCAAGGAGAATTGGCAACCCTATTGCTAAGACAAGTACACTTTTGGGGTTGAGTGAGAAAGTGAAACAATTAAAAGAAAAATAATGATATTAAGGACACAATGTATAATCCTCCTCGTCAGTGGTAGTTAGTTTTGAATAAAATTTTCAATAAGCACTTATAAGCCATAACCAAAGAAAATAAAAATGATTTCAAAATCAGAGTCTTCTCGATAAAAAGATTTAAAAACATCAAGCATAATTTGTAATCAACTTCTGTAGCTCAACTTATTTGGAAGCTCCCTCATCTAGTCTGTCCATGAAAACTTAAAGCTATAAGTATAACCTGACAACTTGTAAACAAAAGTTCCCTCAGCTTCCTAAAGCTCTGTTGAACTTATTCCATAAGCTAATCCAAATTAGGTGAAATTCATACGAGTCACAAAAGTGGACCCTTTTAGGGGCCAAGTGAGTTTCACACGATTGTAGATAAACTGAGTGTTGGAAAAGAGTGTGTTCTAACACTTCTCCTTGGACTTAAAATTAATAAATATTTAGGAAAAAAATTTCATTGTTCAGTATTTAGGAAAAAGATTCATCCTTATTTTTATGTAATTTGATTGATTTGACAAATTCAGGAGTTTTTTCTCCGAACAATATTACCCCTTTTCAATTGATACATATTTTGCTTTTCTAAGAGTTTTTTAATGGCAAATAAAATAAATAAGGGTCATGCTAACCATGTCCCAAAGCATTGATTACAAATTTTAAATAAGAAAAATATTATTATATATTTAGTTTATTGAATAAATATAAAAAAAATTTAAAAAAATAATTGTTTATGTTTTGAGTGTATTAAATACATATATTTAAAATAAAGTAAAAAATAAATATTTTTAATCTCTTAAAAAATATTCCACTTATCTTCTTAATTTTTTAACCAATACTCTGAAGACACTCATTAGCATTTTGCAATCAATAAATATAAGATAAAGAGTTTATCATTGAAGAGATATAAATAAATTCTCAGATCCTCCAACTAATTTTTTAAAAACAGATCATTGGTTAACCATTGTGATGGATAGGAAGATATAAGATTTATTAATAAGTATTGAGTATGATTCATATATATTTCGGCACTAAAGAGAGATATGGGAGCCCCTACTTATGTGATTGGTCTAAACCTATCTTAGATTCAAATGGTTGGTTTGAGTATGTGATTAGAGGATGTATGGAAGGTAATCTCCCCGTTACGGTTCAAATATATTATTGCAGTATTGTATATATTGCTCGTAAATTGTAATCCTAATTATCGCAAACAAATGAACTTTAGTTGCTCTATAGTCACGAAGGTAAATATCATTGATCGAACTGCATTAACAAAGATCAATTGTGTTCATTGTCTTTTACTTTTGTTTCTGTTTAATCTTCTATACTGGTTGTTATTATATCAATTG